GGGAATCAAGCACTTACAAGGCGGTGGCTGGACCGTAGTCCGCTCCACACTGAGTGCATGGAACCACTTTTGGAGCCTAGCACGACCACAAGGACCGTGCACCCCGTCCCCTCCAGCAACGACCAACTGTCTCCTGGAGCCAGTATGGACGATGTAGTGGGTAATAGACAGGTAGGCAACTTGTCAACATGCACATCAAGCGCAGCCACACCGGGGATATCAAACAACAACCAATCACTTGAGAGAGAAAGAGAGAAAGAAAAAAGAGAAAAACTCGATTAATGCATAAGGAAACGGTGACATAAACTTTAATTTAATGAGCATATGTAATAAGTTGTTTACAAACAAATCCTAGATAAGTGCACGAGGTCAGAAAGTATAGTTCACAGAATGCCACGAACACAAATATGCTCCGGAAATCGAATACAATTGGCTTAAGCGAGGTGTGCAAGTTAATGGAATAGAGTACACGTAGATATTTATACGATATATATATATATATATATATATTGTTGTTGTTGTTGTTGTTGTTGTTTTCGGTCGTATTTTCTAAGTGTTAATTGTGGGGGCGCAGCATATATGTTTATTTAGTGGTTTGCAGCCATATACACCCACATCTATGATTTTGGCAGCCGTTCCTTCATCTAAAATGTCCGCTTTGACCATTTTTCATCCACCGGAAAGGAGCACTTATATGCCTCCACACCAAATTGTTTTCTCGTAGTTGAATGTATACTAAGGTGTTGTACAGACAAATTTCGTAAAGTAGCATAATATGATTATTTTGCTGGAAATGGGACAGCAGACTTTTATGTTAATGGAAATATACTTTTACGTCTATTAGTTGGATTAGAATGATTGCGCTACAGACGTCGTCCCAACCCTTGCCATGAACTTCACTCGCACACACTGCTCCACTGTGGTTCATTTGCGTGATGCCGCCGACTATGCCAGGCGGCCTGTCTGACACATCCTCTCACCTTTCCCTATATATTACCGGTTGTCTAGCCTGTTTCATGAGTCTTTACATCCGGTCAATACACTCTCTGGTGCGGTGGAAGTCTTTGTTCTGGCGGCTCGACGCCCTACTAACCGCGACTAAAACAATTAGTTACTGTGATCTAAACCGCGATCACTGTGAGCACTGGGAACGCATCCGAATGGCACATACTCTTGTGGTTACGCGCTCACATTTCTGTACGTGGCCGGTTTCGTCCATATCTGGAGTTTCATGGCAGAGATACCCGAAACCGTCGAAACTCAGGTAGTAGTAGTTGACGGTTAACCGTTGGGTCACTACGATGCACCAACAGTACTTAAAACAGTGGTTTGGAAGTAACTGTTGGGTTTCGGAGACCAAGCCGTGTTTGGACCGAGATGCGCAGTCTCATTTTGGGCCAATATCTACTTTGCACCAATAAACATTCGTTCACGACATTAAGACTCTATGCGAAGTGCAGAGTTCCGGTGTTATTCGTCCTCGTCAGAGGTTTATCTACTCAGCCTCGTTTCGAACTTCTTCGGATTTGAGTGTAATCTTCCAATTCTGCTAGGAGATTCCAAATGGTTCGATATTGTGTCGACTCCACCACTGCTTCCACCCAGTAACGGTAGTGAGAACACACACGGCAATCCGTTTACAAGACGGTGTTGCTCGCCGTAAACTGAACCGGCAGCCAAGCGTCCGAGAGTAATAATCAATCGATTGATTCAAATCAGGGTATATACGGAGGCTATGCAGAAAGACTGACATTCGGTCAATAAAAGCTGGTCCGTTCCAAGGCGAATGATCGATGATCGATACATAGGGTATGAGAAAGCTAATAAGCGTAAGACTCAGTGTCAACACAAGCCAATTAATAATGTGGGGCAACAGAAACACTGCAACGCTGTTCCTGTTAACTGTTATTTGCTTTCGTGACGGTCATTACTGAGCAAATCTAAATCCTATCTGTTCACGAGATGCAACCCATGTTACTGCAGTCTGTTTGCTCTAAGTGGAGTCACCGATTGTACCGGTGACGATTTACCCTACCTTCATTGTAGATTTCAAGCACATGACAACTTATGAGTTCATTGTTGCACAACGTCAGAAGAGAGACAAAAAGTCCAAAAATGCCGCACCCAAGGTACAAACCGACATGTCTGATGCGTCATCTAAACAAACCCCATTCTCCCTTACCAACGCCAGTCAGTCAACCCTGCCCACTGTCCACAACCAGCTGCAAGGGATGGGATCACCACGCTCAGCAAGAGAGCCGAAGTCAAACAATGCCAATATGAAGAATGCTCTTTCTAGCACGTTCAAACCGGTGAGAATGAAATGGAATGGTACCGACGACCCCAATGAATCGTGGGAGTTCACCACAGAGAGTACAGAGGGATCGAATGAACTTGTAAAGCGTCCAACCAGCCTCTCACCTCTGTGCAGTCGGACCGTACCCAGAGTGAGTTTCCGAAATGAAATTGTTCCGGATTGTACCGATGTTTTCCATATCTATCCCTCAGTTAAATGGTTTCTTATCTGGGATTACTACATAATTGCAATATGCGCACTTCAGTGTTATTTTATTCGTGCATAAATATTTGGTTGCATTAAAAAATCGAAATGACCGCATGAGGTGAATACAGAACAGCAGTCATGAAAGCAGAAAACTTGAGGCCTTAGTTTCACCAGGTCTATCTTGACCTACTCCTGAATTTTCGAACATTGTACAATGAGTTATTTGTGGTAAAAAGCCCATAGTTGATAATTTCTGTTTGCTTTTGAGGGTGAAAATTCAAAATGAGAGTGTATTCGTCTTTTCAATGTAGGTTTCTACGGCGAAACGATGACATGCTAGGGGCGATGAAACGAATGCGCTAAATATAACGATGAATAGTATAGCGAGCACCTGGAAGTTGATTTTTGGAACATAAAATAACATGCGGACCTGCTATTGTTACTATTTCTTGTAAAGGGAATAAAGACACTCATCCTTGTTCTGAGTTCAGTTCAGTTCGGTTCGGCTCACTTGAACAGCTATGAACCGAACACCGAAGTGCGGTGGATCCAGTTGTCACGACTCACATCGCAAGAATAACAATAAATAACAACGGCAAGCTAGAGGGGTTAAAGAAAAATTGAATGTAAGGCATATGAAAGCAATAAGTTCAGTAAGTCACGTAGTGGCATCACATGTCATTCTGAAGAGTGCAAAGAGCTAAGAACGTCGCACAGTCGTTTGCTTGATGATATCCAAACTAAGGGAGGAAATAACTGATTTTGGTAGAGCATTCCGGTAGTTTTGGACCCAAATGTAGCAAGATGATTCCATTTTTATACTGGTGCCTGATTCACTCCATTTCAAGCATTACCCCCTGAGACTGGTGGTATGATTTAGCTCCGGCAAGTGGCAGCCTGTATGCATAGGAACACGCAATACTTAGTATGTCAATATGAGTTCATCGCGTAGACATCGAGAACAAAATATCAGCAGTCCTCAAACCCACAGACTGTGGTATGTCGATTCTCTTAGCGAGGGATGAATATACAGTACCCGACATTAACTGAATACCTTTGACGAAACACTTGGTTCATTTGATTTAATTCAAATACGATATACACGTCACACCATGGTTGCTCCAAGGTTGGGTAAACAGAAGGCATCACTGATTAAATACATTACACAATCAGCGAACGCACTTGTGGAAACCCTCAAATGCACTTCTCTAGAGCTGGTTTATTATTTAGTCTATGTTTGTCTTAATATATGTATACCAGCACTTCCAGTGACAACGGCATTCCTTTTATGCTTAATATTCTATAAGCGTTTTCTTTGTACACGCTATCATGCATTAGCAGCTGGTCATTTGCCGACACAGAGGATGAGGCATGTCGAAACATTGACAGTAACATTTCAGCGGCCTATCTCATATTTTTATAATCCTACTGACTATATATATATATATATATATATATATATATATATATATATATACATATACATATATATATATATGATTTCCAAATTAGGCCAGAATGCTCCCGTTCTGCTTGTTGAAGGAGGGTGGGCCGGCTCCGTTGATGAAACGTGGCTCCCATCCACATGCCTCCCGGTCCTATTCCTTCGGGTTTACACTGGATATGGAGTGTGTGGTTGGAGCTGTGGTTGGTGCAGCGGAAGCCACCCATGGTGCCTCTGTATGCGCAGGCGTCCTGTGGCTGGCCACAGTGACAGGCAAATCCGAAACCGGATGCCGCCAACCATGGTACATGAGTACCGTGTAGAACAGTCCATTGATATTTCTCAGTGGGCGTGATAATACAAGGTTGCCCAAACCGAATTAGTGAGTTGAATTATGGGACACCACCCGAATAATTTGACTGAGTAGTCTGTCTGCAAATCAGTGATTTGAATTCAACGAATCACGCACATTGGGCGATGATGACCGACTGCCCAGTGTAATGGAATTAAGGAAGCGGAAGACTTCAAATGAGGAGAATATGTGCCTGAATAAAGCCTTAAACTAGCTCGGTTGAAGCCTTAAATTGGCCTTTGCCGTTCTCCTTGAACCATTGCTTTTTGCACCATTTATTGTGAATACATCAATTTTTCACGAATATTTCGAGGGATTCTTAGGCTGAACAAAGTCCAAGGTAACTGAGACTGTTTAACGTCGCGAGTCTTCTATAACTCACCGAGATACCGCGGAAAACGCAGTTTGTCACCTTCGTCTAAATGAAACCAGTTATCAAGAAATGTCTCAAAAGTTTGGCATCGTCAACCGGATAAAATCCCTCATAATTCCCTTCATCAATATGCGATTATTGCTTTAAGGTGTGGAACTGTTTACTTGATTGACATCTATACAACCTAATCCAATTTTGTTTTTCCATTCGCGAACTATTTTTTATTTTTATTGACGGTTTTTTAGCTATTTAGTGTAAAATGCAGAGTATACACACATCTGGATACTCAAAGGTTATATTGGTTTAAATTGACTTGACTTGAATCATTTGCGGTACGTATGCGGGAATGAAATACCAAAACGTTAGGATTAGCGATCAGTAGGTGAGAAGGATACATATACTTCTCTCTGATTTTCTGATTGCGAACTAGGAGGTAAGTAGAATGCGTCAAACCTGGCGGTCACTCACGTTGTATGCTGGCGCTCTTTGCTGTTGTTCAGATAGCCGGGAAGGATCAGGTGGACAAAAAGAATCGATTTGGCACACTTGAGCTGCGTGTCCGTTTTTGTACATGTGGTTGGGTGATTTGTGAGGACTATGATAGGGGAGTAATAGGATAGTAGACAACCACGGTTTTGATGCTACCAATTTGCGTAGTGCCACATGTCTCATTTTCAACCTCATCCACTAACAACTCCTATTTTGAGATTCTCACATTACGACGCAGCAAGACCGGTATTGGCACACTCGGCCAAATCGGCAGCGAGATTTGTGGTTTAAAGGAAGCATTTTGAAGAGTGTTAGTCGGGACCCAGTCCAGCAGCCTAGCCGCGGCCTGGCCACTTAGTGCCACACCTACGCCAGCCAAACGCAGAGGCTGTTTGTTGCTTACCAGAAAGTCGTAGTTGATATATGGTTACATGATCAGTGAAGAATGTCAGCTTAAGCATAATGCTGGGGTCCTGCAATCGGCGTTCGGATAGGAAGCAGATATCAGTGTCTAGGGTGTCCAGACTATAGCTAGACCGGCTTGCTCTCCAAGCTGCACGAGCGACCGTACGTTGAAGCAGGCCAGACGAATAGAGGATCGGGGACAGAAGAGAGTCACCGATTGAACTCCATGGTTCTCGGTGCAACTGGGGTTAAAGTAAATCAATGAACACACAAAGCATGTCAGGGACAACGAGGATTGTCGATGAGTGAACGGCTGGTGTGCGATAAGGTCGCATGTGTGTAAGTATCAGAAACCGCAGCAGTTGAGTTTGGTGTAGAACAGTCTGTGGTTTCTGTCGGACGGCATGACGCATCCCAGTTGTTTAAACGGAGTTGGAAACCTTACTTCGTGCGTGTAGCCAAGTTGCCCATCCTCAAGGCAGCAGAATGAATTCAGGTAGTTCAGCTCATTGAAAGCCGGTGACTGATTGCTCAGTTCAAGCGTCTTTCTTTTGTGTCGGTTACCAAAAAGGGTCGTAATCCTCCCCACGATTCTAGAATTTGGGTGTCGAAATACAGTGCTCCTCCAGAGTGAAACAAGGGGCAGCAATTGTATTTAGTGGCCAGTCACCTCCACCACATCGCAATGCTGTTGAACAGACACTCGTTGGATTTTATAAGGGGAACGCTTGCCCGCCGATAACTCATCACATCCTGGAACACTGGAGCCGAACCATTGGTTGGAACAATGGAACAATGGTATAATACAGATAAAATAATGCCAAGGCTTGACAAGTCCCATAGGATGGTTTGTGTGAATTACGTAAGTTCAAAAATGTTACCGTAAAGTGAAACGGGCGCCTATGGACTCACCATATTATCCACGTTAATACACAAGTATATTCGTATACCGATATTTCGTGGAGGCTGGTGAGCACAATGTTTCTCTGCCTTCTGTTGTCACTGAATGAACGAAAATGAAATCAGGTAATGTAGGTGTTTGCAGTGCATCGTCGAGTCGCTTTTTAACATAGGGAGCTTAGGCGCAGAAATGGCAAAGGTCGAAAGGGCGTTCCGTGGCTGACAAATGTAAAGATAAACATAACTTCAGCCACTTTCCAGCCGACTGTATTGTGTGGCGAGTTTCAGCTGGTGACCACTCAATCTATTGTTGCGGCTGAGTTTAAGGAAATGGCTGTAAACATGACCGGGATTTTTCAGTGTCTGGTACGCCAGAATGAGGTCACCCCGTAGACGGTGAGAAATTTTGCCGTACAGTTCTAAAGTTTTCAGTCGCAGATGCTATGGCAGGTTGAACAGTCCCTACATATTTTGGTTGTCTCAGCTGTGGACTTTGCAGTACAACCGTATTACGCTTTAACCAGAGTTGCTAGGTTTGAATCACGTATGCTACATGGGGCCTCACATCCGCTTTGAGCATTTGAAGCATGATGGTGGGTTCGAACCGTCCGAATGCCCTCCGTAAGAGACCAAGCTGTTGGTTAGCGGTTTTGACCGCATTCAACGACTGCTCCGAAAAGCCGAGGTTGTCTTGCATCAACGCCTCAACGTCACGCTCCTGTGAGGTGGTTTTCAAAATGTGGTCTCCATGCTTATATGGGTTATTGGGCTTGTTCCTTACATGCGCAGTTTTGCGCTTATCCGCATTAAACGGAATTAGATTTGCCTTACTAGCACCACGAACAGCTTGTCCAGCCAACCAGCTATACGCAGTATAAGGGCTGAGTGCTGATTCTGACATGCAGTTACGCAAAGCGAATGAAAGCCTTATACATTAATAGTGGCCAATCTTGATGGGCTCAATCAGTGAAGCAGGCAGCCGATGAGAAACGGACCGACGCGAATGCTATTGGCCCGCGTTAGTCACCGCTGTCCCTCAGATCAGTTGCATCGATTTGTTTGCCACCTTAGCTAAGTTTGATTAAATCAAGTACATAAACGCAGTATGCTTAAAGGCGTCGTTGTTTGTGGACGCCTTCGTGCCGTCACTACCTTTGGATGCTGTTTAGTTAATTTTGGCGAAGCCCTGGGTGGGGATGCCGAATCGCCCTACTCTTGCTGAAGGCAGCTTGTACATGATGAAACTGAAGTTAATATCTTCGAATGAAAACTAATCAAACTTCTAAGATGGAGGCAAATGTAGTACCATGATAGATGAGATGCGCTATTTTAAGTGCCAACAAATGTCAGTCACTAATACAGAGGCGTG